GCTTGGGTGCCGGTTAGCAGTACCCTGCCTGGGATTACCTGAGCGCGAGTCCTCTTAAAGTAAACGCTCGGGACCCTGGGAAACCCCTGGGGGCGCGCGGGTCCGATGGATGTGACCCCAGAGCCCCCCCCTCGCTTCCAGCGAGTTTGAGGGTTGCTCTCACCTTTTGTCTCTGGGTGACTCTCTGTTTTGCCTCCGTCTGCTGCCTGTGGGGTCGGTGACACCTTCGACCCGGTGTCCTGCGAGTTTGGTTGCTCGTTGTGGCTCGGTTACCCAGTTGTGCTAACAAAGCGGGTGCGGGCAGCAGGGGCGTTGCACCTTGGTGGTGGCAACGTTCTCGTGGTTTCCTCCCCGGGAGCCCCGGGGCTGCCCCGTTGTATTTCGTTTTGGGACTTGGGGGTGTTGGTTGCATCCACGCCCCCTTGTCTTTCCCCTGGTTCACCCTTCCTGCCTGCATCCGGTTCCTTACCGTCTGTAGGTTCAGGGCGGGGTGTTTGGTGGTGTTGAGACTCGGGCAGTCTCGGGGAATTCCCCTTCCGGGGTAGTGACGGGGGCATTTGGGCCTGTTCCTCCAGCCGTGTTGTATGAGTCTGCCAGTGGGCTCCCTTCCTTAGTGTTTTCACGGCTGCCCCGGTTTTCTGGTACGGCCGGGGCTTTGGGGGAACGGCTCGGCCCCGGGGCCTGTCGTGTAGGTTCCCGGGGCTGGGGAGGGGCTGCCTTGGGGGGGGCCTTGGCCCCGTTAGACCCCGTGGGGGGTTTTATCCCCCTCTAGGCGGGGCTTGTGGTTACGCGGAGTGGGGTCTTTCCTCCCCACTCGCCGTACGTGCTGTTGGACGTCGGCCCCTCCCCGGGCTCGGTTCCTTGGCCTTTGAGTCGGTTGGTTCCGTCCTGTGGGTGGATGTTTCCTCCCCCGCTTTTTGGGACGGTGTTTTTGTCATGTTTCCCCGTTCGTTGGGGTTCTGCGTGACTTTTGATCTCGGGTGCGCTTGCGCCTTCGTGTGCCTTCGGGACTAGTGTTGGCTTCTGTGTTCTCGAGGGTACGGGAAGGTTTTTCGCTACTTCCCGCATTATTGGAACGTCTGTCGGCTCCTAGTAGCCCTGTTGGGCTACTTGTCGCCCTGTTGGGCTACTTGTCGCCCTGTTGGGCTACTTGTCGCCCTGTTGGGCTACTTGTCGCCCGGTTGGGCTACTTGTCGCCCGGTTGGGCTACTTGTCGCCCGGTTGGGCTACTTGTCGCCCGGTTGGGCTACTTGTCGCCCGTTTGGGCTATTTGTCGCCCGTTTGGGCTACTTGTCGCCCGTTTGGGCTACTTGTCGCCCGTTTGGGTTCCCTTTTTTTTTTTGGGCTCTTTGCTTCTTTGGCCGGTTTTATTGTTCCTGCTTCCTCTTTTGGCTCCTTTTCTCGTGCAATAGTCCTGGCTGGCGCCTTCCCGCAGGGAGGGTGTGCGGTTCGGCCAGCGTGTTATGCGCATGCGCCGTGGAGTTTGTTTTGGTCTGGGCGATGGTTCAGTGCTGGGGTTTTGCGCCCTTTTTTGCTACAGTGCTTCGCCTCTCGTTCTTCTCCCTGGCTGCAGTATGTGCCCCTTTGCACCAGGGGTGTCCTGGTTCCCAGTTGTGGGGAGGACACCGCGGTTTTCTGTGTCATGGGTGTGGACCGCCTCCTTCGCCTCTCCCTGTTCTCCTGCGGGTCCGGCTCTGGCGTCTTCACCTGGCGGTGCTCCCAAGTTCTTCTGGGCACGGTTGAGTCGGGTCAAGTTCGAGCCACCATTCGCCAGGTGAGTTTCTGCGGTCTGGCGTCTTTTGGCCGGGCGCTGGATGCGGCGGTGTTCATATACCTGTTTTTATTTAGGTATAATTTTGTACGACTGAGACCGTTCGCACACCAGTGACTGTCCCTTTATCACCCCTTCCTGTCCCCCTCATGTGCATGTCCAACCCATGCTGGAGTCATTCAGGGGACCCTCCTTTTTTAATGTTGTGAGGTGTGGGGGTTGTAGGGTTGGTTCTGTACTCACCTGGTGAGGCTCCTGGCTGTGCTTGCAGGATTTGAGCTCTGGCTCTTGGGTCCCGCCTATCTGGTAGAACTTGCGGGATAGTACCAGTGGAGTGCAGTGGTGCTATTGGCACTTTTGGGGAACACTGTATTACCATCAGTGGTCTGTGCTTGTTACACGACCTACTTGCGAGCATAAGCCTTCTTGCTGGTTCGTCCGTGGACTTCCAGGGCGCACTGGCCTGTTTTCGTATGGCAGTTCCGGCCCGTCCTGGTTGTGGGGGTATGTGGGCCGGTGGACTGCTCCTAGCAGCTGCCTGGTGGGCCATCCTCTGGCCGGTCTGGCCTGACCTTGGGCCGGGCTTGAGGTGTAAAAGAGCTCCCAGTACCTCATCCAGCAGGTATCGAGCGGGGTTTCTCCGCCGTCGGTCGCCTGGTGCAGGTTTCTGGGCCTGCAGGGTTTTGTCGTGTCTCCGTTGGCCCTGTCTGGGGTCTGCCTGCTCCGTTCTCTGCCTTTGCAGAGGGGAGTTGCTATTTACATGTTGCATGTTGCAGTGGTGCCTGTTGCTGCTGCTGCTGCACGTGTGCATTGGTACCGTGTTTCACGGTGGCGTGTCCTTGTTCCTGTGTCCGGTTGTGGAGTGGCGTTTTGCTGCCGTTTTGTGCCTGGGGATTGCGTGGGGTTTTTGTCCCTGCCTGATTGTCCACCCCTGGTTGTTCTCCTGGTTTTTTTTTTTTTTTGTGCTTCTGCTCTTTCTTCCTGCCTCCTCTGCAGCAGGGATGTCCTGCGTGTGTTCTTAGGCGTTGGTCAGCCTGTGTCCTGTGATGTGCTTCTTTGTCTCGGTCTGTTGCAGTTGTTCGTGCCCCGTGGTTCGGGTCCTGTTCTGGCGGCGACCCTTCCGCCTTCTTTGGTTTTCCTAGCTTGCCCTGCCGGTTGTTGTTGTTTTATTTTTTTGGGGGGGTTCTTGCGATGTCTCGCGTCGGACCCGTCGTTTCTGAACTCCTGGCGGGCTTGCATGCTTCGGAGTTTTTCTGTTCGGCAGACGTTCCATCTCCTTGTGCCACCTGGGTTTCGGTGGTCGCGCCCGAGATCTTCTCGCGGCTCCGCCTTTTTCCTGGGCTCGGGGGGGGCCTTGTCGGGGCTGCTTATGTTTTGCCTCGTGGTCTCGCCTCCGGTTGGTGGTCAGGTGGCTTCGTGGTAGGTGTCCCACCTGCGTGCTTTCTTGGCGGCAGTATGGGGTATTTTGGCGGTCCTTCCTTTTCCTGTCCCTTCTTCGGTGGGTCCTTCTTGTTGGCTTGGTTTACTCTCGGCTTGGTTTACTCTCGGCTTGGTTTTCTAGTGGGGGTTGGGGGCCGTCGTCTTGCCACATACTGTCGCCTCTTTTCGTGCGGCGCAGGCGGAGCCGCTTCAGCTTGCTTTCGGTCTTGGTGTTGCTTCTGCACCGTTAGTCAGCTGTCTTGTGCGTCATTTCACCTCCGGCCTGTTCGTGCGCCGCTTGCACCATCCTGGTCTCTGGTCAGCGTGCTCTGTCTTCTCCTCGGTTGGTAGTGCCCCTTCGGTTCCGGTGTGTTTTTTTTCGTCGGCTCTTTCCTTTGGGCCTTTGCCTCTGGGGGTCGGTTCGCTGTGTTTTCTTGCTCCTTCGGTTTTAGCGTTTTGGTTGTTGATGGCAGCAGTCTCCATCTTTTCTGGCGCGGGGTGGGGCTGCTGCATTCTGGAGGGGTCCAGGGTTTGTTGGTGCTTTGTTGGTCGGGCCGGGGGTGTGTCGTTTTTGTGTTCAGTGGCGGCCTTCTGCTGTTGTTTGCGTGCCACGGCGTTTGGGTCCGGAGCGCGTTTTGCGTTGATCCGGTTCTGTTCTTCCCGGTTCGCAGGTGTTGGTGTCCCGGGTGGTCAGCCGTGTTCTTGCGGCTAAGCTGCCTGTGTTCTTCCCTCATGCCTGTGGCGTTCGTGGCTTCGCTGCTCTCGCTGCCGTCTGGGCGACGTGGCCTTGCAGTCTTTCGGGCATGGATTTTTGGTGTTCGTGCAGGGGCCTTGCTGCTCGTGGTTCTCGTGTTGTTCCCGGGATTTTCGGGTTATTACAGTCAGGGGTATTTTGTAATACTATCATCACTAAATAATAGCAATTACATTTATATTTTGATATTTTTAGGCAATGCTGTGGTCACAAGCTGAACAGCGGTGCTGTTAGCTCATGCTGCTTGGTGCCAGCCTTGGTTGCTCACTCAGTACTGAAGCTCTCACACCCGAGACTGTTGCCCATGATTTAAAAAACAAAAAATAGGTCTGTTTATTAGAGAACTTTGCAGTTCTTCCCATACTTCACACATTTTCTTAATGAGGAAGGGACAATCCTCTACTGCCTCTACTCACAACTATTTTCTTAGGTTGAACCTTACCACTGACTTTCTTGGGACCCTTAGCTTGATATATAATTATTACTTTTATGTTCAAAAACCCAAAAAATCAGAAAAACTATGAAATTCTTTACAAAGAATTCAAGTGCGATCGTCACTAGGCGTGAGGCACTGGTAAACTGAAGAGTGCCTCGTTTGTGCCAGGAACCACGTTCTCGGTCGACTCATACATGTATCAACTTACTCGTCGCCAAGCTAGGTAAAGGTCACCAACTGAGTCGAATTTTACAAAGAAATTGAGATCGTAACCCGAAAAAATTGTATAAAGGGACGGTCGTCAACCAAGGCTCCACTGTACTGTACCTGTATATATTGCATCATTATAATTTTGGTGATGTGGTGTTGACCGATTATATTTATTTTTTTCAATATTTACAGCAGATTTGTTATCAGTTGCCTAATTTTTGTATTAATGTATAATGTGCCCTTATTTGTATTTTCTGTAAATTTACTAATTTTTTTATTTACTTGTATAAAGTAGTTTTGATAATATAAAATATAAATCCCAGTATTAAATCCTAAGGTAAATAGTATGTTATTCTTAAATGTTGCTTGAATATTTGATATTTTATTAATTAATTGGTTTATTATTTCAGGGACCTCCCGGTGTTGGCAAGACAACTACGATTTTGTGCTTAGCTCGTGCACTTTTGGGTCCTAGTTTTCGAGAAGCTGTGATGGAACTGAATGCATCAAATGACCGTGGTATTGATGTTGTGCGAAATAAGATAAAGATGTTTGCTCAGCAAAAAGTAACACTTCCCAAAGGAAAGCATAAAATTATTATTCTGGATGAAGCTGACAGGTAATTAATGAAAGAGCGCTTAATTACTTAAGTGTAATTACGTAAGCGTAGTTACAGAATTTCTGTAGTTATGCTTGTGGTGTCCTGTCGTCCCACTATTCTTTGTCATATGATGCTTTGAAACTACTGATGGTTTTGGCCTCCACCACCTTCTTCTCATTTAACTTGTTCTAACCATCTACTATATTTGCTAAAGAGAACTTTATAATATTTTGGCACCTTTGTTTCCTTAGCTTAAATCTATGATCTCTTGTTTTTGAAGTTCCAGGTTTGAAGAATTCCTATTTGTCTGTTTTGTTGATTCCTGGTACTATTTTGTACATAATGATTTTATCTCTTTTTTTTTTTTTCTCTTCAAGTTTTGGCATCTTTAGCATCTCATAGCTCTTTATTTTTCAGTTCCAGAAGCCATGTAGTAGAATGTCTATACACCTTTCCCAGTTTATTGATGTGCTTTTTGAGATATTGGTACAATACAACTGCTGCATATTCCAATTTTGCTCACAAAAGTTGTAAACAATTTATTTAACCCATCTACTGTGCATTTGTTTAACCCTTGCAGGGTGGCGATTGTATAAAGTATATACAAATATTGTATATGATTTTGGCCTGACTGACTGGAAGGGTGCATATCATATATACAGTACAACCTCGATTCAATGTACCCTGATTCAATGAATTTCCGGCTAGTTCGCACACTTTTCAGGCCGGATTTACTCAACTGGTTCGACAAACAATGGTTCACCGAAACGGGGGATGTTGCAGATTTGCTTTTCTTTCTCCTTCAAGGTTCAGGGACTGGCTCGGGTTTGTTATGGGGTGTCTTGGATACTGCTTTCGTCTCCCATTCACTCCCTGGCTCCTTACGTGTTCACATGCCTCACCCGGGTCGTGGTGGCCCGTCTGCGTCTTTTAGGTGTTCGGGTGTTGGCTTATCTTGACAACTGGCTGGTCTGGGCTCCCAGTTGGGCTATGTGTCTGTTCGCCAGGGATTTGGTTCTTTCCCAGCTAGCCAGGTTGAACCCGGCTTGAACTTGGTTCCTGGTGAACTGGCGGAAGTCCCATCTAGTACCCTCCCAGGTTCGGACTTGACTGGGTCTTGTGTGGGACTCTCGGACCACTTCCTTATCTCCCCCTCCGGAGTCTCTCCTTTGGCTGTGGTCCCGCATGTGCTTGTTTCGAGGGTGGAGGGGGGGGGGGGGTGGTCCTGGGTCACGTGTCACGCAGAGGTTGCTCGAAGGTTTGTGCCGGCGCCTGTACTTTGTGATGATGGTCTACCCGCTGGGTTGTGTTTGGCTTCTTCGGCTGTTCTAGTTCCTTCGGGGATGTCCCTTCCACCTCTCTCGCAATCGTTGACCTCGACTCCTGGGGGCCTTGTGTTGGCTGCTGCGTCGCCGGCTTCCTCTTCGGATTTTTCAGGGTTCAGTGCCCTGGTGCCTACCCTCGCCCCTTGCTCGATGTGTTCACAAACGCGTCATCTCTCGGCTGAGGCTTTATGACCAGTGCTCACCAGGCCGGCTAGGGGTGGTGGGGTCCGTCCTACCGTCGGGCCTACAGCACAGTGTGGGAGTTCGCGGCGGTGTGGTATTTGCTTCGGAGAATTCGGGTCGCCCGTGGATCGACGATCTGGCTCCATTCGGACTGCTCCTCGGTTGTTCATTGCCTGAACCAAGGGGGGTTGAATGCGGTTCTTGGCTCTTTGGGGCTGGTTACTTCGGGTGACGAGTTTCTTGTCTGCCGAGGAGAGGGGTTTGGCTCTCCTGGCTGTTCACGTCCAACGGAGACGTGAAAGGCCACATCCCCCCCTCCAGCATTCTGGCGGACGGCCTGTCCCAGTTCATTCCCCTGTCTACTTAATGGACGGTCGTCACCGGCTCATTCAGTTGGATCTGCTAGACGTTCAGGTGCCCTATAGGTGGACCTCTTCGCGTCGGCGTGGTCGAGGCGTCTTCCTGTATATGTGGCACCCTTCCCCGACTGTGAGGTCGTCAGGGTCGATGCCTTTCGGCGGGACTAGTCAAGGTGGGGGTTCCTGTATCTCTTGCCCGGTTCAGCTGTTGCTCCAGGTCCTGGCTCGCTTGGAGACTTACGAGTGACGGGTAGTCCTTGTGGCCCCATGGTGGCCGGACCAGCCTTGGTTTTAGGCACTGCTTGCTAGGTGACTTTCTAAGAACTGAACCCCCGGAACGTGTACACTCATGGGGAGCAATCAGGGGGTACCACCGAAATAGAGAAGAGTACTCAGTATACAGGGGGCAATAACCAAGGCAGGTTAAGTTGACTCTGCTTTACTCTCTTTTCAGTATGACTGATGGTGCTCAACAAGCACTAAGAAGAACTATGGAGCTGTATTCCAATACCACTAGATTTGCGTTAGCATGTAATTCTTCAGAAAAAATTATTGAACCAATCCAGTCACGATGTGCAATGCTGAGATACTCGAAGCTCACCGACTCTCAGGTAGGGTAACTTGCAATTTTATTAAAAGTTGGTACAGTATATGGAAACTTCTAATACTGTATTTTGGAAATGTTAATTTTTTTCATAATTACACTCAAAATTTTAAATGAAAAGAGACTAGTGAAAACTGTTGTGGGTAATTACCAGTTCCAATTTATTTATTATTTATATATTAAATTGTGTTTTACTAACAAATTATTTATATGTGAGTGGACTGTATAGATTAATTTTCTGGGGGGGGGGAGCCCCTTTGGCTCCCTGGGCTGATATGAATGTGTGTATTTTCAGCATCAGTCAAAGTGAATGGAGTTCTTAGGCCTACCAGGGACCATGAGTCAGAATCTGGCCCCCTCAGAGAAGCATGAGGAGCAATTGCCTATAGAATAGGCAATTCTATTCTATTCTATCTTCGTGTGGTTGGAAGCATTCTATGTCTTCAACCTACGGCACCTGAAATGGAAGCACCTGGCTAATACAGTAATATCAGAAAGAATACCAGGAAGTAGCCTAAATGAACAGGCACATGCAAATGACCTGCTACGGATGTGCGACAGGTTTGCCTTAAACCAGCAAATAGTAGAACCAACTAGGAAGGAGAACACGCTAGACCTCATTTTCACTAATAATGATGAATTGATCAGGAACATAATGATTACAAATACCTGTTACTCAGATCACAACTTAACACTTTTCTGAGATCTTCACTTGGATTTACGGGCGGTTTATTTAAGCGCTTGTCGGATCATGACGTACATTTACGGTCCGTGTTATAGTGGGTATATACTACTCGATCGACTTGGGGTTTGTATGAATATGTTTGCCATTAAATTTTTGTTTTCTCTAATAGGCACAGTGCCTATTTGAGAAAACGGCAATGTATTGTAACTTAGAGGAGAGACTATTGAGTTGGTGACACAACGAGGGTAATCGCCCACTCCACACACTCTTGTGTTGGCCGCGATCATGATTCTACATTTATATGCATATGTCTGTGTAGAGAATTTTATTCCGAACACTATACAAACAAAAAAAACGGTGTGAAACAAGTATAAACTTGAAAAACATGAGCAAAGTAAAAACTTTTTACGCTCACGGGTACAAACACGCGTAAGATTTTATTCGCCGCAAATTTATTTGACGCTCTGTTGACCAATTCTACCCATGTTCTTATAGAACTTTCTATTGTGAACACATTGCTATAAAAATGAAATACGTAGCTCGAGAAATAATGTCAGGACAGTGAAATAAGTATAAACTTTCAAAGCGCTGCATCACAACAGTGTCGTCGCTGCTGAAATCACGGCTAACGCTTCGCCCAGTTCCCACACTTGTGCGGGTCACCCCCTACCATAATTAGACATCGATAGGCATATGTCTGGGTGGGGAATTTTATTGCGAGTTCAGTGATATCAAAATAAGCGCTGTAGGATGACTGTGAGGCTGGCAACAAACGAAAGAGTATGAACATTTACTTCCTGTTTAGGTGTCACGGCAAGTCATCTTCGTGTTTATATACTTCGTGGTGGGATAGCAAATGCTTTGGTGACATTTTATGCATATGATCTTGTAGAGAATTTTATTGCCAACGCATTGATACCAAAATGAAAAACGTAGCTCGAGAATTGATGTTAGGAGCGTGAAAAGATTATACACTTTTTTGTGTTTACACTTGAGCGCCCAGAACGCCGCGCGCACAATGCGCTTTTTCTTCCACGAGTGCCGCGCGCACTAAAGTGTTAATTGAAGTTATGACAACCATGGGGAGTAGACCTTCAAAACCAGTCCAGATTCCCGGTGGAGGAGATTTCAGCAAATTCAACTTCAATAATAAACAGATAAACTGGGAGCAAATAAACCAAGACTTCACAGAAATAAACTGGGAAGAACAGCTAGAAAATGCAAACCTGAACCAGTGCCTGGAAAAAATAAGCTCAGTAGCACTAGAAATATGTTCAAACCGCATACCTCTAAGAAAAAAGAGGAAGAGATGCAGATTGGAACGGGAACGTCGTTCCCTATATAGACGAAAAAACGAATCGCGGAACAACTTGAGAGTCGCACCCTATCTCAAGAACGGCGAAGAAGGTTAGGTAGAGAAATAGAAACAATTGAACGGAAGCTACAAGAATCATACAAAACCCAGGAGAGGCAAAGAGAGCAAAAGGCCATCAGTGAAATAGAGAGAAATCCGAAATATTTTTTCTCCTATGCAAAATCAAGATCAAAAACCACATCTAGTATCGGGCCCCTGCGAAAGGGAGATGGAACTTTCACCGATGACAACAAAGAAATGAGCGAGCTACTGAGGAAGCAGTACGACTGTTTTCAGTGAGCCATTAAACACACTAAAGATTGATAACCCAAATGAATTTTTCATGGATATGATACCAACATCAAATCATATATCAGACGTCACCCTATCCCCACTGGATTTTGAAGAAGCCATAAACAGTATGCCTATGCACTCTGCACCAGGCCCGGATTCTTGGAACTCCATATTCATAAAGAACTAAAAAACCACTATCGCAGGCCCTCCACATTCTGTGGAGACAATACTGGCGTTATTCCTGATATACTAAAAACAGCAGTGATAGCACCACTTCATAAAGGAGGAAATAAGGCAGAGGGAAAAAATTACAGACCGATAGCACTAACATCGCACATCATAAAAATTTTTGAGAGAGTGCTAAGAAGTAAGATCACAAAATACATGGAATCACAGCATCTCCATAATCCAGGACAACATGGTTTCAGAACAGGGCGCTCTTGCCTATCGCAGTTGCTGGACCACTATGATATGGCATTAGATGCTATGGAAGACAAACAAAATGCTGATGTAATTTACACAGATTTCGCAAAAGCTTTTGATAAATGTGACCATGGTGTTATTGCACATAAAATGCGTTCAAAAGGAATTACCGGAAAAATAGGCAGATGGATCTACAATTTCCTGACCAACAGAACCCAATGTGTAATAGTCAACAAAATAAAATCCAGCCCATCAACCGTGAAGAGCTCAGTCCCCCAGGGTACTGTGCTTGCTCCAGTACTTTTTCTCATCCTCATATCGGACATAGACAAGAACACAACCTATAGCACTGTATCATCCTTTGCAGATGACACTAGGATCTTCATGCGAGTAGGCAACATAGAGGACACGACGAACCTCCAGTCAGATGTAGATCAGGTCTTTCTATGGGCTACAGAAAATAATATGGTGTTTAACGAAGATAAGTTCCAGCTCATGCGCTATGGAAAAAATGAAAATATAAAAATAGAAACCACGTACAAAACTCAGGCAAATCATAACATAGAATGAAAAGGCAATGTAAAGGATCTGGGTGTACTCATGTCGGAAGACCTTACCTTTAAAGAACACAATAAAGTAGCCGTCACAACTGCAAGAAAAATGACAGGTTGGATAACAAGAACTTTTTACACTAGAGATGCTATACCGATGATGATACTTTTCAAAACGCTTGTGCTCTCTAGAGTGGAGTACTGCTGCACAATGACAGCACCTTTCAAAGCTGGAGAAATTGCTGACCTGGAGAGCGTGCAGAGATCCTTTACTGCTAGAATCCACTCAGTAAAACATCTAAACTATTGGGACCGACTAAAGAGCCTAAAACTGTACTCCCTTGAGCGCAGGCGGGAGAGGTACATAATAATTTACACGTGGAAAATATTAGAGGGGCTGGTCCCAAACCTGCATACAGAAATAACATCACATGAGACCAGAAGACATGGCAGGATGTGCAGAATACCCCCCTTGAAAAACAGAGGTACAACAGGTACTCTGAGAGAGAACTCTATTAACATCAGAGGCCCGAGACTGTTCAACACGCTTCCACTACACATAAGGGGCATAACTGGCCGACCCCTCACAGTGTTCAAGAGAGAACTGGATAAGCACCTCCAAAGGATACCTGATCAACCAGGCTGTGACTCATACGTCAGGCTGCGAGCAGCCGCGTCCAACAGCCTGGTTGATCAGTCCGGCAACCAGGAGGCCTGGTCGACGACCGGGCCGCGGGGACGCTAAGCCCGGAAGCACCTCAAGGTAACCTCAAGGTCAAGGTATGTCTGCCATTTAGTAGGTCAGGCACCAAGAAAGGTAGGCATCCCAAAACAAACCCTATCTGGTTAAAAAAAAAATGCTACTGAAAGCCAAAATTTGAAAATTGGACAGAACCCCCCCAAACTAAAAACCAGCATGATGTCACAACTGTCACCGCGTCTGTCTGCGCAGCTCCTTCCCAGGAGGGGGAAGGGGAGCTCCAGACCCTCCGCGCCTGCTATCCACCCAGTTCTGTGACTGTTGGGAGACCTGGCGGTCATGCGACTCTGGCTCCAGACATTTTACAGCGCTGTACCTTGTGGTGTGGTCTTGTCCTGTGGTGATGAGCGAGCCAGGAGTAATTTCACAAGTACCCGGGCTGCATGCGCCTAGGGTTCCTTTCCCTAGGTGTGCTGCAGGTACTGCCCTTGTGGCTTGGGGTTATCTTCCTCAAGTCGCTAGGGGTCTACCTCCGTGGGGTCTTTTACTGCTCTTTTATTGCCCGCCCTTGGAGTCAGCTAGGGTGTTTCATGCACCACTGTTTGTCTCTGGGTAGGAAGTAGTTTTGTCACTGGTAGGGGTGCAAGGTATTGTTCAGGTAATTTTCACCATAACATAGCGGTCAGCTCTGTTCTGCCTGGGCCGTTGTCCTCTTGCAAAGTTTTTCTTTTATTGTTTGTTTCCTGCCTGGCAGTTAAACCAAAATTGTATATATACAATTAGTGCCATTAAAAGGTTAAGGTGCAAATATCTCATATGCAATATGAGATATTTATGCAAATATATGCAATAATATGCAAATAAGGATGTCAAATATCTCTTCTTCTTTCCTGGTGAATACTAGATCCAGTACTGACGGTACATCTCCTTCCCTCATTCTTGTGGCCTGCTTTATGTGTTGATACAAGAATGTCTCCAGAATGAGGTTCACAAATCTGCATAAATGATCTACCAGTTGGTATACAGAATTATATGAACATGTTTGCTGATGATGCTAAGATAATAGGAAGGATAAGAAACTTAGATGATTGTCATGCCCTTCAAGAAGACCTGGACAAAATAAGTACATGGAGCGCCACTTGGCAAATGGAATTTAATGTTAATAAATGCCATGTTATGGAATGTGGAATAGGAAATTGAAAACATGCCCATGCACTCGGCCCCAGGTCCAGACTCATGGAATTCAATATTTATAATCAAATGCAAAGTGCCGGTAGCACAGGCACTCGGTATAGTGTGGAGGAAGAGCTTGGACACGGGGGAGATACCAGATGCACTTAATGATGATACGGCGTAGGGGTTTCTACTCTTTCAGTCCTGGTGGTTGTTTTTGTTTGTTTGCAGCCGTCTCCTACTTTTCTGGCTAAGAATGAGTCTGCTGCTTTCTGAAGGGGTCCTTGGGTTGTTGATGCTTGGTTGGTTTGGCTGGGTGTGCATCATGTTTTGTACCCAGTTGTGGCTCTTCGCTGTTATTTGCGTGCCATGGGCTCCATGGCAGGAGACACACTTTGGGTTGCCCTGGTTTCCCTTCTTCCCTGTTCCAGGGCGCTGGTCTCCCAGGTCGTCCGCAGGATTATTCGGTCCAGCCAGCCTGTGGTATATCCCTGTGCCCATAACATTTAAGTTGCTGTAAGTTTGTGGCTTTGGCTGCTGTTTTTGGTAATATGTCCTACTCTTACATTTGGGCATGGGGCTTTTGGAGGTTGAACAGGGTCCTGGCTGCACCATACCTCGTTACCGTTCCTGGCCCTTCGTTCCTGGCTCTTTGTTCCTGGCCCTTCTCGGGCGAGTGTAGCCTTTGGTCGCAGGTTGCAGCCAGTTGTCTCGACTTCGAGTTGAGGAGCGAGTGATGGCCGCCTCTCGGGTAAGTCCCTTTTTTCCTTTATCTTTGGTCATGTAGCTCTGGGGAGCCATAGGGGCTCTCCACAGAAAACCAACATTGAGTGTAATGAAACGCCATTTTCTTGGTGAGACTTGGAGGCTTCCCGCCATCCCTTCCTCCCTCCCTCCGGTCATTGTTTTTTTGCGTTTTTGATATTCAGCCTCTGAACTGAGGAGAGTAGCCGGCATGAAGGTCTGGGACCCCCCCCCCCCCCTCACCAGGGAGGAGGTGGGATTGCACAGACGGCTGAGTGGCAGTTATGGCGGCGTCATGCTTGTTTGCTTATTTTTTATTGGGGAGTTCTGCTTGCTAGTTTAGCTTTCAGTTTGCAATTTTTGACCAGTTGCAGTTTGTTTTGGAATTCCTACCTTGCTGGGTGCCCGACCTGGTAGATAGCAGACATAGACTGCTTCCAATTACACGGGGGAGTCTATAAGTAATTGCTCCTCGTACCTCATTTGAGGGGGCCAGGTTCTCGTGCTGGTCCCTGGTATGCCTAGAACACCATCAATTGACTGATGCCACGGTCTAATATATGCACATCAACTCCAGGGAGCCTCCGGGTCTCTCCCAGAAAATGGCATTTCATTATATTCATTTTTTTTTCTTGTGCACAGTGGTATTGTTAGCTCTTATTAGCTGTGCTGCCCGGAGTTTAAACTCCTCCAACCTATGGTCATTACTCCAGCCTGTGTGTACATTGCATCATGTATTTATAACAATGACCTGTAATGTTTGCGATCTGCATTCATTACAGCATCTATCAGCTTGAAACATATCTAGTTACATTTGTAATTACCATTAGTCTTTTATGTGCAAATGTAAATGTGTAATTCATTTAAATTATTAATTAAGTTGATAGCTTGGTAATTTTTCCCCAGATTCTTACAAAAATTTTGGAAGTATGTAGAAAGGAGGATTTGAGTTACACTGAAGATGGTCTTGAAGCAATTGTGTTCACTTCACAAGGAGATATGCGGCAAGGTCTCAACAACCTACAGTCCACAGCACAGGGCTTTGGACACGTATCATCAGAGAATGTGTTCAAGGTAAGTGTTTCAGTACATAAGTTGATTATGGTGGATATTCACTACAGTAATACAAGTGGCATATAGTAAACATTGTTGTATCCGAACATGTTGGTGGTAGGGTCGTTCAGATACAGTACAACCGCAATTCAACGCACTATATGTGACCAACCCCGGTGCGTTGGAGCGTTGGATTCGTTGCAAGAGGTGACCTTCAGGAGACGTTTGTGTCAGTGTCTTTTTTTTTTCTTGTACACAATAAAAATGCATTATCATATTATATACTGTACCTATATATTACTACTCTACTAAAAATAATGTCACATTTGTTATTTACCTTAATGTTTTAGTTATGTCCATCTTGAAGTCTCATGGAGTTGTGAATGCTGTACTGTAAATACTGTGTTGATTAAGTAGTTTTGCTGTATGTTGAGTACTGCAAAGCAGTTTATGAAAACTATTGTACACTAAAATTACTGCAACTTTAATTTTAACACTATGTACACACTTAAATTTAACACTTGTTCTAACTGTTCATACTACACACAATGTGTTTAGATGTTTGCATCAGCTTTGCTGGTGCTCGCTGCTGCTGTGGCTTCAGTTGCTTCTGAGCTGATGCTGGCTGTTATACTGGTGCTGGGTACGGCTGTGCTGGTGCTAGGTACAACTGTGCTGGTGCTGGGTTCGGCTGTGCTGGTGCTGGGTACGGCTGTGCTGGTGCTGGATACGGCTGTGCTGGTGCTGGGTACGGCTGTGCTGGTGCTGGGTTCGGCTGTGCTGGTGCTGGGTACGGCTGTGCTGGTGCTGGGTACGGCTGTGCTGGTGCTGGGTTCGGCTGTGCTGGTGCTGGGTACGGCTGTGCTGGTGCTGGATACAGCTGTGCTGGTGCTGGGTACGGCTGTGCTGGTGCTGGGTTCGGCTGTGCTGGTGCTGGGTACGGCTGTGCTGGTGCTGGATACGGCTGTGCTGGTGCTGGGTACGGCTGTGCTGGTGCTGGGTTCGGCTGTGCTGGTGCTGGGTACGGCTGTGCTGGTGCTGGATACCGCTGTGCTGGTGCTGGGCTGCCTCCCTTTTCTCTGGTTTTCTGGTTGACTATGCCTTTTCTTCAGGGGCAGAGGATTTGGAGGACGACTCTGCCCCGGGTTCAGGCGTGGAGGATCCCGGGGTTGGGGAGAAGTTGACTTGGGGTGCTTGGGCTCCATTTGACCCCACTTGGGTGTTGGTAACCTGTGCACGGGACTTATTGCAGGGAGAGGGGTTCTCTTATCCCCCCTTCCCTGTACAAATTTGACACGGGTTTGGTTCCAACCCGGGTTCGGTTCCAACCCGGGTTCGGTTCCAACCCGGGTTCGGTTCCGGCTTCCCTTGGGTTCGTCAGTCCCTTATGGAGGGTTTCGGCTTACCGTATCCTGCCTAAGAAGGTTCGAGAGGCCATTGCAGCGTACCTCCTGCGTGACTAGGATTTTGCCTCGATAATGGATCATACCTGGTTTGAGCTTGGTTTTGCTTTTCCTTATTGGGTGCATTACAAGGTACCGGAGTCATCCTGGTTAGCAGACTGCCGTGCCCTTTTTGTTGGGGGCGTGGCATTCGTTCTGTCGGACCCGCACGCTTGAGTGGTGGGAAACATTCTACTGTGGTACAGGTTTATCTGGGGGCGAGTTGGAGCACCTCAGTGCGTGCTTGTTCGCCCCTGTTCTTCCTATGGATATTGGTTAGCAGTTCTTCCCATTCTTCCTAAGCAGCTCCATGTGCAGGTTCCCGTCCTTTGGTGTCCCTGGTAGATGAGGATTTACGTACCTGGGGACACTTGGCTTCGGTTTTGTGTTTTTTTTTCCCTGCTTGAGCTGTTTTCGGACTGGCTTGAGGAGGATGTGGAGGCGCTGGGAACCAAGCCCGTGCCTGGCATGCTTGCCTCTGCGGTTTTGGCGTCGGCTGCCTTGTTGAAGTTATATGTGCCGATTCTGAAGGAGGCGTTGTCTCTGTTGTTTGCTTCCCTCCTCGCGTACCGGCAGGCTGTGCTCGCTCATTCTTTGGAATCTGCCATAGAATCAATGACCATATGAGTCCTGCGAGCTTTGGTGCTTGTTTGTGGCTCCAATCACCCAATCTGTTGATGACATTCTTTGGGTGCAGGCTGCTCGTGCGTTGCTGGATAGGTTGTTGCAATGCGCTAGTTTGGTTGCTTCCCTGGATGCCCCGAGGCAGCCCCATTTTGCTTTTCAGGACCCGGACTTGGGGGAGTATTGGTCGCGTCGGCCTTGGTTCAGTCCGTGCCCCCTCGTTCTTACCCTGCTGTGGTTCACTCGCCCCCCCTTCCCTGCTTCCGGCTCCTAGGCGTCTGTGGACTTCGGGGTTGGGGCAGGGTTTCGAGGTTTGAGACTCGGGCAATTTTAGGGGTTGCCCCTTCCGGGGTTGCATCGGAGGCGTTCAAGTCGGTTTCTCCAGTTGTAGCCCCGGGGTCTGATCAGTGGGCCCGCTTTCTTCCTGCTATGTCGGCCGCCCCGGTTTTTTCTTGTGAGGCCTGGACTTTGGAGAATGACTCGCCCCCGTGGGCCTGATGTAGTGATTCTCGGGGTTGGAGAGGAGTTGACTTGGGAGCTTTGCGCCCTGTTGGATCCCACCTAGGTTTTTCGACCTTCCGAGCAAGGCTTACTGTTACAAGGAGTGGGGTTTTCCTTTCCCCCTCTCTGCGTACGAGTTGTCTTTGGGCGTCGGCCCCTTCCCGAGTTCGGTTCCGTGTCTTTACAGGTCCTGTCAGACCATTGGTCATGGATGCTATTGGGTGCATCTGTGCCTCCGTGATTTTGAGCTTCTGCATTATTGGAACGTCTGTCCCCTTCAGTTAGGGCTTACCTCCAGTTCTTTCTAGGTCTCGTTGGTACTCTTCTGTCCTTTTTCTCATCTTTCGATGCTTTTTCCGATTTTTAATTGTCGCCTATTTCCGTTCTTGTCTCGACATTAATAATAGCGGTTCCTCGTTGGCCTTTGCCTGGGCCTTGGTTCCTAAGTTTTTCGCTGCCATTTTTGCCCCTGCTATTTGCGGAGTTTGCGGTTGGCAGTTTCTGCAAGCAGTGACTTCTTGTCGTCAGTTATCTGGCCTATTGTTCTTTCACGGGTCCTGGTGGGGGTGCCTCCTGGATGGGGCGTCTCTACTTGGCCGGGTTGGTTCTTTCCCGGCTCGCCGGGTTTGCGTTCCTGTTCCCTGGCAGACGTTCCTTTTTGTTCTTTGACTGCCGTGGTAACGGCGAGGCTTGCTCAGTGTCCTCACCCAAAGGTTTTCCCGTGGCTCCGCCTGTTTTACATGGTCGGTCCGGTCCGTGGCGGGGCTGGTTTGGTCTTCTCGAGTCTTCTCGTCTGGTACTTTTTAACTCGAGTCTCTCACCATCTGCTTGGTGGTTAGGTGGCTTCTTGAATGTGTCCCACCTGCGTGCTTCTTCTTGGCGGTGATATGGGGTTATCTGGCGGTCCTTCTTTTTCTTTGTCTCTTCATAGGTGTACTGCATTCTTTGTTATCGTGGTCTTGTCCTTCTCTCTTGGTAGTTCCGGGCTGTCTTCTGGCTGCATACCGGCCTACTCATGCTCCACCTGAGCCGTCCTGCTCCGGGGTAGGGTACTCTTTTTTTTTTTGTTTTTTTTCTCTATTCTCTTTGGTTTGATGTGGCCCCTTCAGTTCCGGAGGGGGCTCCTGGGGCTGTTACTGGGTTGGTTGGCCAGGATTTTTCCTTCTTGTTTCCGGTTACGATTCTCCACCGTTCTTTGCGCGCCACAGCCTTTGTGGCCGGGGCTGCGTTTTGGGTAGATCCGGTTTCCCTTCTTCCCTGTTCTCTGGTTCGGGTCTCTCCCTGTCGTCCGCTGGGTTTTTCTGCCTAGCCAGCCTGCGGTCTCTCCCTGTGCCCCTGACATTCGTAGGTTAGCTGCACTTGCTGCAGTCTTTGGTGGCATGTCTTGGGCTGACTTTTGGGCACTGGGTTGTTTTGGCAGTCGCGGTGGGTCCTGGCTCCTCACTTCCTCATGTATGTTCCTGGGCCTAGTCGGCCTTGTGTTGCCTTGGGTCGGCTATTGCCGCCAGTTGTCTCGACTTCGTGTTGTGGTGTGAGCACCGACTGCCTCCCGGTTGCGTCCCTCTGTTTTTGTCTTTGGTGAAGTAGCTTCGGTGAGCTGCAGGGGCTCCCCCCAGGAAACCAGCGTTGAATGTAATGAAACGCCATTTCCTGGGTGAGTCCCGGAGGCTCCCCGACAACCCAGCCTCCCTCCAGTCAGTGCTTTTTGTGTTTTTTATATCCAGCCTCAGAACTGAAGGGTGGATCACCAGTGCGAGGGTCTGTGGCTTACCCCTTCCCCCCCTCCCAGGGAGGGGGGAGCTGCGCAGACATGCTGCACGGCTTATGTGATGTCATGCTCGTTTGCTCGTTTTTCTTTTGGGGCGTTCTGTCCTCTCGTTTGCGATTTTCGTTGTTTTAACACGCACCCTCATCACCACCCCACCATCACCCTCCCTTCCTCACCACCACCATCACTCTCCCTAACCACCACCACCATCACTCTTCCTCACTATCACCACCATCACTCTCCCTCACTATCACCACCACCACTCTCCCTCACTACCACCACCACTCTCCCTCACTACCACCACCACTCTCCCTCACCACCACCACCACTATCACTCTCCCTCACCACCACCACTATCACTCTCCCTCACCACCACCACCACCACTATCACTCTCCCTCACCACCACCACTATCACTCTCCCTCACCACCACCACCACCACTATCACTCTCCCTCGCCACCACCATCCTCACTCTCACTAGGAGCCGGTTGGCCGAGTGGACAGCACGCTGGACTTGTGATCCTGTGGTCCTGGGTTCGATCCCAGGCGCCGGCGAGAAACAATGGGCAGAGTTTCTTTCACCCTATGCCCCTGTTACCTAGAAGTAAAATAGGTACCTGGGTGTTAGTCAGTTGTCACGGGCTGCTTCCTGGGGGTGGAGGCCTGGTCGAGGACCGGGCCGCGGGGACACTAAAATGCTCCGAAATCATCTCAAGATAATCTCCCTCACTGCTTCTATCCCTCCCTGCCTCTCCCCCTCAAAGCCTCCCTCCATCAATCACTGCGTCTCATCCCTCCCCCGATGCTTCAAAGTCGGTGGCCTGTTGCTATGTGAGGGGCCCGCCGATACCAAAACAAACCCAATACCAACCTATAGTTATATCGATCGCCAGACTAGTATATGAGGCTTGGGAGACCGATCTCCCAAACCGGTCGATGAAACCGGCAGATTGGTAAATAAGAGGCCGTTAAATCGAGTGGATACTGTATATGTTTAGCAGTTTACTTTCACTGTTGTTCTTGGAAATTGTCCACATACAGGTTGTTGCTAATTTCAGTTTTATTTGGGTTATTAGACTTTTAGTGCATATCTATGGTTGCTTGAAGCAGAAACGGCGAAGAAGTAGCACCAGACTAATATGATGTAAACCTGTATGTGATTGTTTCACTGTTTGGATCACTAGAATCCTTGATGCATATGAATTTATGCATACATGGCTGACATAAGTAAGGCATTCCTTAGGGCAGGTCTCCAGGAAGAAGACCATAACTACACAAAGTTCTTGTATGGTTCTAATATGATTTTTCATACTTTCAGGTGTGTGATGAGCCCCATCCAATTTTAATCAAAGAAATGATTCTACACTGTGTGAAAACAAACTTTGATGAGGCTTATAAGGTGAGTCTAAATCCTGGAAAGCTGTTTTATAATTGACGCCAATTGTCAAAATTGCAACCTAAAAAATTGTTTTCTGAGGGAAGCCCTGTTGGCTCCCTGAAGCTATAAAACTGACATTTGCCATATTAGTTTGGTGCCATCAGTCCTTGGAGTTTGAGTGCCTACCAGGGTCCACGAGCCAGAACTGGGCCCCCTCAGAGAGACGCAGGGAGCAATGGCCATATGAGCTCTCTACATTTAGAGTTTGTCATGTTTGCCATCGACTGGGGGAAAACACCCAAAAAGGTAGGTGAACCATTACAAACTGGTTAAAATTGCATTCTATGTCCAAACACAGGCCTATAACATCCTCCCCCCATAAAAAACAACGAAACAAGCAATACATCATCCAACTAGCGTGCCCGCTTATTAGCGCCTCACCCCCCCCCCCCCAACAGGGGGGGATCCTGCTCAGGCTGGCAGGCCACATCACCCTCAGTTTGTTGACTGAAGTGCCAGGTGTCGGAAGTCCTCACGCTTCTGGCTTCTGGCTGTCTGGCTTTGCGTTTGTGACTGTCGGCTGTGTGTGTGGCAGTCAGGTGTTCCTACAAGTATACTGGGCTGTATGTGCCTAGGGTTCCCTTCCCTAGGTGCTTGGGAAGTACGATCCTTGCGATTCAGGATGACCTTCCCTGGGTTGTTCAGACTTCACTCCAGTTTGAGGTCTTCATCGCTTGACGTTGTTCTTGCCCCTTTGGTTCCCTGGGAGTCTTGGGCTTCCCATGGGAGTCAGGTCACCAATTTCATGGAGACCAATGACCTTCACAACCCAGGCCAACATGGATTTCGAGCAGGAAGATCATGCCTCTCACAGCTACTTGAGCACTACGACAAAGTCACTGAGGCATTAGAAGAAAAACAGAATGCAGATGTGATATACACGAACTTCGCAAAGGCTTTTGATAAATGTAACCATGGCGTGATAGCACACAAAATGAAGTCAATGGGAATAACCGGTAAAGTAGGACGCTGGATACTCAGTTTTCTGTCAAACAGGACTCAGCGAGTAACGGTCAACCATATAAAATCTAGTCCAAGTGCAGTTAAAAGCTCTGTACCTCAGGGTACAGTCCTTGCACTGCTGCTTTTCCTTATTCTCATATCAGATATAGACAAAAATACAAGTCACAGCTTCGTATCATCCTTTGCAGATGACACAAATATCAGTATGAAAATTATCTCGGCTGAAGACACTGAAAAAATTCAAGCTGATATTAAGTGTTCTAAAATTAATGGTAATTCCTGTACCCAGGTGGTCCCTTCCGACGCACCCCTCCCACCATTACAAGTGTAATAGTCAAAATGTTGGAAAAAATAATTAAATCTAAATGGGTAGAACACCTGGAGAGAAATGATATAATATCAGACAGACAGCATGGTTTTCGATCTGGAAGATCCTGTGTATCGAATTTACTCAGTTTCTATGATCGAGCAACAGAGATATTACAGGAAAGAGATGGTTGGGTTGACTGCATCTATCTGGACCTAAAAAAGGCTTTCGACAGAGTTCCACATAAGAGGTTGTTCTGGAAACTAGAAAATATTGGAGGAGTGACAGGTACGCTTCTAACATGGATGAAAAATTTTCTGACTGATAGAAAAATGAGGGCTGTGATCAGAGGCAATGTATCGGACTGGAGAAATGTCACAAGTGGAGTACCACAGGGTTCAGTTCTTGCACCAGTGATGTTTATTGTCTACATAAATGATCTACCAGTTGGTATACAGAATTATATGAACATGTTTGCTGATGCTAAGATAATAGGAAGGATAAGAAACTTAGATGATTGTCATGCCCATCAAGAAGACCTGGACAAAATAAGTACATGGAGCGCCACTTGGCAAATGGAATTTAATGTTAATAAATGCCATGTTATGGAATTTGGAATAGGAGAACATAGACCCCACACAACCTATATATTATGTGAGAAATCTTTAAAGAATTCTGATAAAGAAAGAGATCTAGGGGTGGTTCTAGATAGAAAACTATCACTTGAGGACCACATAAAGAATATTGTGCGAGGAGCCTATGCCACGCTTTCTAACTTCAGAATTGCTTTTAAATACATGGATGGCGATATACTAAAGAAATTGTTCACGACTTTTGTTAGGCCAAAGCTAGAATATGCAGCAGTTGTGTGGTGCCCATATCTTAAGAAGCACATCTACCAAAGGATACCTGATCAACCAGGCTGTGACTCATACGTCAGGCTGCGAGCAGCCGCGTCCAACAGCCTGGTTGATCAGTCCGGCAACCAGGAGGCCTGGTCGACGACCGGGCCACGGGGACGCTAAGCCCTGGAAGCACCTCAAGGTAACCTCAAGGTAACATCAACAAACTGGAAAAGGTGCAAAGACATGCTACTAAGTGGCTCCCAGAACTGAAGGGCAAGAGCTACGAGGAGAGGTTAGAGGCATTAAATATGCCAAAACTAGAAGACAGAAGAAAAAGAGGTGATATGATCACTACATACAAAATAGTAACAGGAATTGATAAAATCGATAGGGAAGATTTCCTGAAACCTGGAACTTTAAGAACAAGAGGTCATTGATATAAACTAGCTAAACACAGATGCCGAAGAAATATAAGAAAATTCACTTTCGCAAACAGAGTGGTAGACGGTTGGAACAAGTTAGGGGAGAAGGTTGTGGAGGCCAAGACCGTCAGTAGTTTCAAAGAGTGCTGGGAAGACGGGACACCACGAGCGTAGCTCTCATCCTGTAACTACACTTAGGTAATTACATGTGTTTTCTGGGGGGGGGGAGAAGCCCCGGAGCTATCCAGGCTGATATGCTAATGTCAGACTTTGGCATCAGGCATATGTATGGAGTTCTGTGGGCCTACCGGGGACCACGAGCCAGAACCTGGCCCCCTCATCTCAAAACAAACCCCTATTCTGGTGAAAATTGCTACAAAAAAGCCGAACAAATAGATAGAACTCCCCAAACAGAAATGAGCAATTGAGTATGACGTCACACGTCGCCGCGCCGCCGTCTGCGCAGCTCCCCCCTCCCCAGTATGGGGAAGGGGAAGCCCTAGACCCCCATGCCGGTTATCCACCTCTCACTTCTGAGGCTGAATCTATAGGCAATTGTCGTGTGCTCTGGCTCCAGTAGTTGTTTCAGCACTGTGCCTTGTGTCTGGTGACTGTCTTCTAGGTGGTGTGTAAGCCAGGAGTGATTTTCCAGTACTCGGGCTGCATGCTCCTAGGGTTTCCTTCCTTATGTGCCCAGTAAGTACTGCCCTTGGGGCTTGGGGGCCACCTTCCACAAGTTCCTTGGGTTCTGCCTCTGCTAGGCCATTTACTGCTTGGTTTTCGACTGCCCTTTGTGTGCTACGGTGTTCTGTCTCCCTTGTTCACCTTCGGGTAGGGGGCAGTTTGCACTGTTAGGGGTGCGGGATACTGTGCAGCCAGTTTTCACCAACCATAGCGGCCGGCTCTGTTCCGCCTGGGTACGCTGTCCTCTTGCAGGGTTTTCTTTTTCATTTTGTTTGCTTGCCTGGTGTGGGGGTGGGGGAATCTGCCTTGGTTCATGCCCCCTGTGTACTGAGTACTCTTTCTTCTTCCGGTGGTTTCCCCTGCTAGGTCTCCGTGAGTGTACACGTCCCGGGGGTTCAGTTCTTAGTTGTTTGGTAGACTTGGGCACCGGTTAGCAGTACCCTGCCTGGGCTTCCCTGAGCATGAGTTCCGTCTCAGGATGCTGGGAATCCCCACAGGGGTGCGTGGGGTCCGATGGATGTGACCCTGGAGTCTCCCTCTCGCTTTGTGCGAGTTCATGGGTTGCTCTGTCCCCTTGTCTCAGGGCGACTCTCACTATTTTCTGCTGCCTGTGGGGTCGGTGGCACCTTCGGCCTGGAGTCCTGCGAGTTTTGTTGCTTGTTTGTGACTCTGTTATCCAGTCTTTTGTTGACTATGCGGGTGCAGGCAGCACGAGCGTTGCACGTTGAGTTCAGGTGGTGGCAACGCACTAGGTTGTTTGCTCCCCAGAAGCCCCGAGGCTGCCCCGTTTTGGGTGGTGTGATTGTTGCTTTGGTTTTGTTTCCTTCTGCGCCCCCTTGTCTTTCCCCCATGTTGTGATCTAGTCTGGTCCCCCCCCTTCCTCCCTGCATCTGGATCCTCCCTGTTTATGGGTTCGGGGTCGGGGCGGACCTCGATGATCTTGAGACTGGGGCGGTCTCGGGAATTCCCCTTCCGGGGTAGTGACGGAGGCATTTGAGCCTGTTCCTCCAGCCGTGTTGTACGAGTCTGCCAGTGGGCTCCCTTCCTTAGTATTTTTCCGGCTGCCATGGCTTTTTCTTGTGAGGCTGGGGCTTTGGGGGGACGGCTCGGCCCCAGAGCATGCCGTGTGGGTTCCCGTGGCTGGAGAGAGGCTGACTTGTGGGGCCTCGGGCCCCGTTGAACCCCGCCGGGGTTTTCTACCCTCTGAGCGGGGCTTGCAGTTACAGGGAGTGGGGTTTTCCTTTTTCCCCTCTACGTACGAGTAGTTGAGCATTGGTCCCTGCCTGGTAGGGGCGCGGGATACTGCGCAGCCAGTTTTCACCAATCATAGCGGCCGGCTCTGTTCCGCCTGGGTACGCTGTCCTTTGGGTAGGAACCGGGTTCGGTTCCTTGTCCCTTGAGTCCGTCGGTTCCGTCCTGTCGGTGGGTACTCTTCTCCGTTTATTCACCCTTCTTCACTGGGATGGGACTTCTACGTCATGTCGGGGTTATGTTCCCCTCTTCTCGGGGTTCTACATGACTTTTGGTCTCGGGGTGTGACTGTTCCTTTATGATCCTTCGTGATTTATGCTTGCTTCTATGAGTTCTTGATGGTTCGGGAAGGTTTTCGCTTCTTCCCGTATTATTGGAACGTCTGTTGTCTTCCGGTGTGGCTTACCTCCAGTCCTTTCTAGGGCTCGTTGGTCCTATTCCATGCTTCGCACTCTAGTTTTCTTTCAATACTGTACTGTACTCCTGGTTGGCACCTTCCTGCCGTGCGGATTGTGCGGTTCGGACCTCATATGCCATGCGCATGCGCCGTGGGAGTTTTTGTTATGGGCAGTGTACATAAGTGCTGATGTTCCGCGTCCTTTTTCTCTCAAGTGCTTCACCTCTCGCTCCTCTCATCTCTCCAGTCCGTGCCCCATAGATGCTGGGGGTGTTCTGAATTGCCACTATGGGGAGGACAACTGTTTTCCCCTGCATGTGGGTGTGGGGCACCTCATTCACCTCTACCCTACTCTTCTCCTGCATGTGTGGCTCTGGCCTTCTTCCCCTGGCGGTGCTCCTGGAATCTTCTCGGCTATGTTGTGATGACATGTTCGTGCCTACACTCTGCAGGTGAGTTTATGTGGTCTGGCATCTCTTTTGGTCAGGCGCTAGTTCGTCGTTTTTGGATATGAATATCAGAACATAAGAACAAAGGTGATTGCAGAGGGCCTGTTGGCCCATATGTGGCAGCTCCTGTTTATACCCATCCAGTCCCACTCATATGTACATGTCCAACTCATGCTTGAGTCAATCACCTCCACCATGTTACGAGGTACAATGGTGGAGGGGAATGTTATGAGGTAAATGTTTCACTGTGTCAGAATGTTCTGAGGTGACATTTTGCTGCAGTTTTAAAACTAGGGATGCGTGTTGGGATTGGTTGTGGCTTTTTGTTTGGCCCTTGTGTGCTTCTTCCTGGGGCCTTCCTTGTTCATCTGTGTTATTTGTTACATAGTGGGTCAGGTTGGGGGTGCATCATGTGTCCGGTTGCGGCTCTCCACCATTATTTGCGCGCCACAGCCTCTGTGGCCGGGGACGCGCTTTGGGTTGATCTGGTTTCCCTTCTTCCCTGTTTGTGGGTACGGGTCTCTGAGGTCGTTGCAGGGTTATTAAGTCTAGCCAGCCTGCGGTCTATCCCCGTGCCCATGACGTTCGTAAGTTTGCTAGTCTTGCTGCTTTCTTTGGTAACATGTCCTGAGCTGACATTCGGGCGCAGAGTTTTTGGCGGTCGAACAAGGTCCTGGCTGCACGCTACCTCGTTAACGTTCCTGGGCCTAGTCAGGCTGTTGCTTTGGGTCTTGACTTTGAGTTGAGGTGTGGAGCACCGCCCACCTCCCGGGTAAGTCCCCTTCTTTATATAGTCTTTGGTGATTTAGCTCCGGGGAGGCATAGGGGCTCCCTCGAGAAAACCAGCACTGAATGTAATGAAACGCTATTTTCTGTGAGAGTCCCGGAGGCTCCCCTTCGACCCTCCCTCTCTCCGTATTTTGATATCCAGTTTTTGCATATTTTGATATCCAGCCTCAGAACTGCAGGGTGGATTGCTGGTGTGGGGGGTCTGGGGCACCCCTTTCCCTGGGAGATGGGGGGGGGGAAGCTGCGCAGACATGCGGCGTGGCTCATGTGACGTCATGCTTGTTTGCTCGTTTTCAATTAGAGAGTTCTGTCCTCTCATTTGTGTTTTTTCATTGTTTTAAACCAGATTAGGAGGTTTGTTTTGCAGTGCTTACCTTTCTTTCTGAGTGCCTGTCCCAGCCGATGACAGATATAGAATCCTCCAAAATCACATGTGCATTCTATGAACCATTGCTCCTTGTGATTCTCTGAGGGGGGCCAGGTTCTGGCTCATGGTCCCCGGTAGGCCTAGAACTCTACCCACATCGACTGATGCCAAAGGTAGGAATATCCACATCAGCCTGGATAGCTCCGGGTAGCCTCCGAGACTCGCCCAGAAAATGGCATTTCGTTACATTCAATGTTTTTTTTTTTTTTTTTAACTTGTGATTGACAGAGATTCTTCTCAATAAACATGCTTGTTTCATTTCTGTTGAATTAAGAATACAGTGTTCTGTGGAATTTATTGATGAAATATTTAATTAGCTTCAATTTGGTTAATACAATTGTTATAATTCTGTGCTTATTATTAGATTTTAGCTCATCTGTGGAAATTGGGCTATGCTTCTGAGGACATAATTAGCAACATCTTCAGAGTTTGCAAGAACACCAACATGGCAGAATTTCTCAAGTTAGAATTTATCAAGGTAAGAATCAGAAAATAAAAAGCTTGGTTATACATAATAATATATGACTATATATTAACAAATTGTAAGTTACATACACACCACTGGTGTAAATTAGCACAAAGATTGTTCTCTCACTGTAAACGTGTCAACAGCGTGCTGCACACTGTAGCACAAGGACTGTTCTCACTGTAAACTTGCCAGCACCACATTGCACACTGTAGCATAAGGATTGTTCTCTCACTGTAGACATGGCTGACATGGCAACATCATGCTGTACACTGTAGCACAATGATTGTTCTCTCACTGTAAGCTTGGCAACAGCATGTTGCACACTAGTGCAAAGAATGTTCTCACTGTAAACTTGGCAACAACACACTGCACACTGTAGTGCAAGGATTGTTCTCGCTGTCAACAAGGCAACAGCATGCTGCACACTGTAGCACACTTCCTCCTTCAGCAGAGCGCTCACCAAGAAGGGGACATGAGAATGAATAGAAGAAGGTGAGCTTCAAGGCAATGTACACTAACATAGATGGGATTACAAATAAAACAAGTGAACTTGTAGAATGGCCACTAGAAGAAAACCCAGACATAATAATAGTACTCACAGAAACAAAGCTGACAAAAACCATAACAAATGCAATACTTCCGCAGGACTACTATGTAGTGAGGAAAGAGAATGAAGGTGGTGGTGGTGTAGCTCTGCTGATAAAAAAAGATTGGAGTTTTGAGGAGATGGTTATTCAGGGCTGTGAAGGTTTCAGTGACTACATAACAGGTACCATAGCAGTTGGAGGACAAAAGCTTACAGTAGTAGTCATATATAACCCTCCATCAAATGACAGAAGACCCCAGACAGGAATATGATAAAAACAACGTGGCCACCAGTGATATAATAGCTCTCTATTATATCACTGCTTCTGAGAGCAGCTTCTGTCCCTAGGAGTAACAGATCCGGACTACCAAGGGGGCCTCGTAGCCTGGTGGATAGCGCGCAGGATTCGTAATTCTGTGGCGCGGGTTCGATTCCCGCACGAGGCAGAAACAAATGGGCAAAGTTTCTTTCACCCTGAATGCCCCTGTTACCTAGCAGTAAATAGGTACCTGGGAGTTAGTCAGCTGTCACGGGCTGCTTCCTGGGGGTGGAGGCCTGGTCGAGGACCGGGCCGCGGGGACACTAAAGCCCCGAAATCATCTCAAGATATCCTCAAGATATCCTCAAGATACCAATCATGGCAGACTTAAACTAAGGGAAAATAGATTGGGAGAACGGAGACTCATATGGAGGACCAGATACATGGAGAGCTAAGCTGCTGGACGTGACAACAAGAAACTTTCTAAACCAACACATCATGGGACCGACAAGAATGAGAGGAGAAGATAAACCAGCCATGTTTGATCTGATGTTTACCTAAATGAGTCGGATATAAGGAAAGTTAAGTTGGAAGCACCCTTGGGAATGATATAACGGGGGCCTGCCTTTAACCTCCCTGGTTAAAAGCTGGTCATTATTAAGTAATCCTTCAGACCAGAGTTCTGCTGTGTAACTTTCAGTTCAACTCCTCGAGATCTAAAACGTTTGATCGTTTAGATATTACGGCACAAGGATACTATACCTTTCGAGGTCACACTGCAAACTTTGAGACACCGCCACCACCTGCTACATCCACCCACTAGGTATGTTGGGTTTCTGGGGCTTTCACTCAAATATGGAATTATTTAATTATGAGAATTAATATAAGTCGAAGGACCACCCACTTTTGAGAAAAGAGGGAAAACAAATAAAAGTTATTATAAGATTGACACTATAGAACCAGTGTCTATGTATGTTTAATTATTTAACAATCACTTAAGAGAATGAATGGACTGTATTATTAATTGATTAAAGTTAAAAGCCTCAAATATCAACATTGGGGGGTATTTCTAGAAGTTCATATATATCTAGGAACCAGTGTGGTTCGTCACCAGTTCATTGATGGGGTTAGTAAAATAATAGAATCTTAACTAGAATGTAGATTCTAAAGGATCATGAAATATTAAATGATCAGTATATTGAAAGATTATTAAATCCTAAGAAATAATAAATGCAAACTTATTGGGTACTGAGCAGTAAATTATTGCTGTATATTCTTCTTGATCATCATATATGGAAACATATATAGAAATTAATAATAGCATTAGTCAAATTTTCTACGAAACAATATTTGTCTTGGTTGTAAGACAACTTCACTAAGTCCGTTTCGCTACTTGTCGTCGTGATCACAAAGTCCCAATAAGGAAGAAGCACCAGTGGTGAACATCATAGGTGAAGGAAGAAATACTTGGTTCATCTTCGTCTACACGCGGTAATCAGGGAAATTTGACTAGCATTTGACTAGGCTATTAATTATTCCAATATTCACTGAAATTGGAATTAAAAACTGAAAGAAACTAACATGGTATTGGTGGTCTTCACACAACTTAACGACAGGCTACCCACAAATGCACAATCTAGAATGATGTATCAAACCAAAAGGTATACTTAACGTAGGCGTGTTGGAACACTAAAGCCTGCCGATATCGCGTCTGCCAGTCCCTTTTACTGCTGTGGACGTGTGATTACGGGCCATGACTATCTTTGTAGATGAGTAATTAAACGGTTTAAGTACTGTAGACCACGTGATCTTGTTAAATGGCTGCCGTCTGTGGAAGCACGTGTGCACCATGTGACGCCCTGTGCTTGAAGAACGCCTCCTTCCTGCCACCACGCCCAATCACACATGCGCAGAGACGCTCATAGCGATCCCGGACTTAAACCATTTCGGTTTACTATTATTTATTTGGGGAACTGAAGGAGGACAATTTAAACTATCACCACCAATAAATATATTGGATAATAATACCTTTTCTCGTAAGGCAATTGATCTAATTAACATTGCACAAATTGAATTAGAAGGGTTGACGTGTTTTTATTTTACGCCGTAGTAATATTTTACTGGAATAATTAATTTGGTTAAATAGTCGAGCTCAGTACACATAAGCATACAAAATGGTTATTTCAAACAATAATTTTAGAAAGAAAGAGTAATTAACTGAACTCGATATATCTCCAACGTGTGAGAGACTTCATGTTTTAGCCTGTCGTTCCTCACTTCGTCACTGACTAGGAAGAATTTGGCAAATATGGCTTCGCAGTGGAAACATTAATTGAATTAATTCTACACATTAATAGTGTTAGTAATTACTATAGGTTAATACAATAATGATGAATTATAATACAAAAAAATGACGTATTAGTGTTGGAAACTTTCCAACAGGGTAATTTCCCATATTGACAGTGAAGTAGGATATCATCAATTAGACATAATCTCCGAAAATGTATCTCCAGTTATCCGAAAAGGAGGGATAAGATTTACGTTAAGTGTGGATTAAATCAAAATGCAAAGGGATTATATGCAATAGTAAATAAATGCTTTCTGGCTTGCAGTGTGTGCCTAGTCCAAAGCATGGGGCTTGAGCCCAACAGCAGAATGTAAAATGGGGGGGAAATTCCACTAAACCATAAATTCTAAACAAGATTTATTAAACAAAGATTATCAATGAAAATAAAAAAGAAACACGCCCTATCTGAACACTTCCTAAACTGAATATAATCTAACTGAAATTCTTCCTAAAATAGAGGCAATGAGTACAAAAATATTGTGGAGTCTACAACTGCCATTACATCAGAAACAGATCATATACCTTAAATACCACACCCAGGCCAGTTGTTCAGCCTCGCCTCTGGAGAGGAGGTGTAGACCCCCAGGATGTCTCAATCCACACTGATCTTAGCCTGCTCTCTCAAGCTGAGAGAGCAGGGTAACCAAGGCTTAGTTGCCAAGTTAATCTTCGAAGATGATTACAAACTAATATCCTGAACTCATCACTGAAGGTGACTTATTATTCCAAAACAATTGGGAAACTCTTTAGATACTTGACCCAGGCTAATTACAATATTCAATAGCCCTTGCATTTCACTAATTTACATGAATTAACAAGCAAGCTGGTAGGTACATATTTTCCAAGTAACAAGATACCATATTCTTACTGACGTCAAATGTTACTTTGATAACATATGAGGCTTATTCTTTATTCTCAATTGACGTTAATTTTAACATAAGTACTTAACCACGATTGATAATTCCTACTAATTATTTAATACATGAATTAATCTCCTTGTTTGATGACTCGACACAGGGCCCATGTTGTGCTACTATTTTCAACATGTGAGCTCTAATCCCTCGAGGGGGGGGGGGGATGACCCTTCCCAGTCTTTTAGCTTAACTACCAACTCACTCCATATTTTTACAAAGGGCGTATCCTCCCTTCTAGTGAACGACAAATGTTAGATTTATGGTCTTTTATATTAACAGTTCTACCGTTACAATGAGTGATCACAGTGTATTGATCTTTGGGTACCTGGTAGAGCTAGGATTTCCCCCCCCCCTCCCCAAAAAAAAAAGTACTAGGAAAATAAGGGCTGGTGTACCGAAAAACAAATTATGAAGAGATGAGAAAATTTCTAAGGGATATAACATGGGGGACAAAACTCAGAACTAGGTCCATACAAGACATGTTGGACTATGTTACCCAAAAGTGTCAGTAGGCAGTAAACAGGTTTATCCCGACCCAAGAGGAAAAACCTAGAAACAAAAGAAGAATCTGTGGTTTAATAGGGCATGTATGGAAGCAAAGGAACTGAACAAAAGGGTGTGGAGGAACTTCCGAAATAACAGAGCATCAGAATGCAGAGAGAGAGATACCAGAGAACCAGAAATGAGTATGTTAGCGTGAGAAAAGAAGCAGAAAAAAAATATGAAAATGATATAGCAAATAAAGCCAAGACCAAACCAAAGCTACTCCACAGTCAGATCAGGAGGAAAAAAACAATGAAAGAACAGGTGATGAAACTTATATGGGTGAGGACAGGTACACAGAGACTGACAAAGGTGTGTGTGTGTGTGTGAAGAACTCGACAAGAGGTTCCAGGATGTCTTCACAATAGAACGAGGTGAAGTCACAACGCTAGGAGAGGTGGCAGTGAACCAGAAGGCCTTGGAAGGGCTCGAAATTACAGGAGATGAGGTCTAGAGGCATCTGTTGGATCTGGACGTGAGAAAGGCTGTTGGTCCGGGTGGAATCTTGCCATGGATATTGAAAGAGTGTGCAGAAGCACTTTGCTTGCCACTCTCCATAATGTATAGTAGGTCATTAGAGACTGGAGACCTACCAAAAATTTGGAAGACAGTTAATGTGTCCCAATATACAAAAAAAGGTGACAGACAAGAGGCACTGTACTACAAGCCAGTGTCCTTAACTTATATACCATGCAAGGTGATGGAGAAAACCATGAGAAAAACCTAGTAACGCATCTGGAGAGAAGCGACTTTGTGACAAACCACCAATATGGGTTCAGGGAGGGTAAATCTTGCCTCACCGGCTTAATAGAATTCTACGATCAAGTGACAAAGATTAATAAATTACAAGCAGACATTATTAAAGTTTTGACTGGGCAGCAGAAAATAACATGTTTAAGAGTGATAAATACCAGGTACAGTACTCGGGTATGGTAAAAATGAGGATCTTAAATAAAATACAGGGTACAAACCACAATTTAAGCTGCCCATTGTAGGAAGGCAGCATGTAAAGGATCTAGGAACAATGATGTCTGACCACTTAATGTTTAGGGAGTATAACCAAGCAAATATCGCATCAGCCAGAAAAATGATAGGATGGATTACGAGAATCTTCAAATTCAGGGATCCCATCACAATGGTTGTAATATTCAAATCACTTGTGCTTTCCCATATTGAGTATTGCTCAATGCTCACTTCCCACCTTCAGAGCAGGAGAGATTGCTGAAATAGAGGGAATACAGACAACACATACGGCATACATAGACATGATAAAGCACCTAAATTATTGATGGGATCGTCTCAAAGGTCTCCAAATGAACTCCCTAGAAAGGAGACGAGAAAGGTGTCAAATAACATACACATGGAAAATACTGGAGCGCCAGGTCCCAAATCTACACAGTAAAATTACATCATACAATACGGAAGGAAAGAACACTGAATAAACATCTGAGGTTCACGATTGTTTAACTTACTCCCAGCGATTATAAGAAATATTTTCGGAATAAATGTGAACGTTTTTCAGCAGAAAACTGGCTAGTTTTCTTCAAGCTGCTCCAAGCAACAGCTTATTGGACCAAGGTATCACAAGTCAAGCCTGGCCCCCTGGGCTGGGCTTGGGGAGTAGAGCAACTCCAAGAACCCCATCCAGGTACAATCCAAGTACAGTTACTGTTAGGACAAGAATTGTTCCTTCAATGTAAACATGGCAACAGCTTGCTGCATACGGTAGCACAAGGATTGTTCTCTCATTGTAAACATAAGTGACTTGGCAACAATACCCTGCACACTATACTGCGGTTCTAAAGTTAATTGGTCGGTGCCACTTACAAGCTTGGCAGGTAAAGTAATGGTCGAATTTTGGCTGCCTCAAGTTTACCATTTTAGAAGTGTTCAGAAATGTTTTAGATGTTCAGAAATGATAGCGAAAACTTAGAAAGACAGGATGTGGTTGAGTGGCTTGAAAGAGATGCTAATGACCCAGGATATGGTGTGATGAGTGAAGACAGGATTCTCCAATCTATTACTGGTGAGGTCGACGAAGAGGAGGATGAAGAAGGCAGTGAAGAACCAACACCACTGACGACGAAATAGTGTACTCATGACCTATGTTGACGGATTAATTAACTTTTCATCCATCCAATCCAGAAGTTGGAAACATGCATCAGTACCTGAGGCAAACCAAAGAGCTGATCATACAACAGGCCAATGAACACAGAAGGCAAGCTAAACTTGATTTTTATATGGAAAGAAAATCAAGCCAAGCTCCTTCAACTAGTGTGGCGTCACAGGCAAGCCAAGCCCTTCAACCAGTGAGGCGTAACCGGCAACCCAAGGGCCTTCAACCAGTGAGACCTCAGCAGCTGGCAGTCAAAACTAACTTTGCCTAATGAATTGTACAGTAATTTTAAGTGTTAATTTTAGTGTTGTGTTAGGTTACGTAAATTGTCAAGAGTTCTTAACTTCAAGATGTGTGGCATCAATTAAGAAGATGAACAACAATAAGGTTGAGGTTTCTAGTTGAATATATTATAATTATATGTGGCAAGGCAATTAAAATTATGCTGTTTGTGGTGTAAAAATAGTTGGAAATTGTTACTTTTGGAATCAGAGAGGAGAAAAGTACGTTAATCCGGAAAACGTGATAATCCAGCTGGGGGTCCTTCCCATATAATCCGGATTAGCGAGTGGAGACAGTATGTCAGTCGCCATTGGGCGTATGTGGGCATAGTGTGTGTCAGATGAAATAGCTGCTCAAAGTGACAGATAATTTGCAAGTTTTGTCAATTTACCAGCTTTTTCTTAATTATCTGGTACATGCTCTGTGCCATGGCCGTGATGGAAACTGTATACAGAATTTCAGATAGATGACGGGTAGGTGAGATAAGGTTCTGTACTGTAAATTTTTATATATACAGTACTGTATATATATTTTTATATTAACACTTATATGGGAATGCTGAAACAGGAATTAATTTTGTCCTAATACAATAATTTGTTTGTTACAGGAAATAGGTTACACCCATCTACGTATTGTTCAGGGAACCTCCTCACTTCTTCAGTTGTCGGGGCTCTTGGCCAGACTGTGCTCAAAGTCTCTCGAGCCTCTGAAAATATAAGGAACTTTACTAAAATATAAAATCTGCCTCGTTGATATTCTGTTGATTACATTCGTGTGTAGCAGTTTGAATAAAGTATTATACTTTGGTAAAAATAGGATTAAGGTCTTAAGATTCATAGCCTGCATTTCAGAGTGCAATCTTATATGCTGCCCTTCTTTGCCTTCCCAGTACTGTGGAATTTGAGAGGTGTGTTGGTACTGGTAATATGTTAGTGCATGTAGAAGGCAGTCTGGGATGCCAAGAGGCACCGTATGTTCCCTGTCTCTATAAAATAATTGATCATCCCTCCTGGCCTTGGCCCTTTCACCTCATGGATATGAGAAACTGGCTACTGTACTTGTTTTACTGTACTATGTGTTTTTATATCCTGCCTGGTCGGGGTCTGCCCCTTGTGTTAGGTTATTGTACAGGTAACTTATATTTAAAAATACCTTTTAGGATATCTTTTTAGAATGTGTTAAAATTTCTTAATTCAGTATTTAATGTGTTTTTCTGGGGGGGGGGGGGGGAGCCCTTTCTACTATCCAGGCTGAAAGGGATATATTAGACTTTGGCATCAGTCAGTGCGAGTGGAGTTTGAGGCCTACTAGGGACCACGAGCTAGAACCTGGCCCCCTCAGAGAGGCACGAGGAGCAATGGCCTATGGAAATGCACATGTGGTTATGGAGCATTCTATGTCTGCCATCGTCCGGGTCAGGCACCCAGAAAGGTAAGCATCCCAAAACAAACCCCTTTTCTGGTTGAAACTACTACTGAAAGTCAAATGAGTGGACAGAACTCTCCAAATGAAAACAAGCAAACAAGCATGATGTCACCAAGTGCCATCTGCACAGCTACCCCCTTCCCGGGGGAGGGGGGAGGCTTCAGACCTCTTGCACGCTACCCATACTTCAATTCTGTGGCTGATGTGATTGGCAACGGTCGTGTAACTCTGGCTCCCGATTTCTGTCCTCCAGCTCTGTGCCTTGTGGTGTTGAGCAGTTTTTCTGGTGGTGCACGAGCCAGGAGTAATCTCACAGGTACTCGGGCAGTGTGTGCCTAGTGTCACCTTCCTTAGGTGCCCTGTAAGTACTGCCCTTGGGGCTTGGGGCCACCTTCCACAAGTCACAGTGGGATCTACCTCTGCTTGGTTTTTTGCTGCTAGGTGATCGACTGCTCTTAGTGTGCTGGGGTGTTTTCTGCACCCTTGTTTGCCTATGAGAAGAGATAGTTTGCACTGGTAGGCAGTGTGGAGTACTGCAAAGCTAGTTATCACCTCTCATATTGGCCAGCTCTGTTCCACCTGGGCACGTTGTCCTCTTGCATTTTTTTTCTTTTGTTTTTATATCCTGCCTGGTTGGGGTCTGCCCCTTGTGTTAGGTTATTACCATTGTCTATTGATGGTACTTCCACTAAGTCCCTGTGAGTGGACACGTCCCGGGGTGCAGCTTTTAGTGGATCTCTTGGTAGACTTTGGCGCCGGTTAGCAGTACCCTGCCTGGGCTTCCCTTAGCGATACCAGTGTAAGGGGCCCGGGGAATCCCCACGTTGGCGCGTGGGTCTGATGGATGTGACCCCTGGGTTCCCTCTCGCTTTATGTGAGTTTGAGGATTGCTCTGTACCCCTTGTCTCAGGGTGGCTCTCCGTTTTTGCCTCCGTCATGCTGGCTGTTGGGTCGGTGACACCTTTGACCCAGAGTCCTGCAAGTTTTGTTGCTTGTTAGTGACTCAGTTCACCCAGTTCACTGATGATTCTCTTTGGGTGCAGGCAGCTCAGGCATTGCATGCTAGGTTTAGGTTGCTGCAACGTGCTAGGTTAGTTGCTTCTCCGGAAGCCTCGAGGCTGCCCCATTTTGGTTATAGGGACCTGGACTTGGGGGTGGTAGTCGCCTCGACTCTGGTTCAGTTCGTGCCCCCTCATCCTTTCCCTGCTGAGGTTCATTCTGGCCCGTTTCCCCCTGCTTTCGGCTTTCGAAAGCGAAGCGGTGTACTTCGCTTTCTGTTAAGGTTGTCTTGTCCTTTCTCTCGTGGTTGCTTCAGGACCATCATCTTATGGAGAATACTGTCGCCTTGTGTCGTGTGGCGCTGGTGGAGCTGCTGCAGCTGCTGCAGCTTGCTTTCGGCATTGATGTTACTTCTGTGCCATTTCACAAGCTGTCTCGGGCGTTGTTTCACCTCTGGCCTACTCATGTGCTGCCTGAGCCATCTTGGTCATTGAACAGGGTGCTCTCTTTTCTCTCTTCCCCTTGGTTTGTAGTGGCTCCCTTGGTTCAGGATTATTTCTCCCAGGTTCTTATCCTGTTGGCTTTGGCCTCTGGGGGTCGGGGAGCTTTATGCTTTCCTATGGTGCAGGGGTTTCTGCTCTTTTGGTTCTGGTGAAAGGTTTGTTCATTTGCAGCCATCTCCTTCTTTTCTGGTGAAGAATGAGATGGGTGCTTTCCTGTGGGGTCTCTTGGGTTGTTTATATTTGGTTGGTTAGGGCGGGGGTGCATCATGTATTGTGTCCAGTTGCAGCTCTCTGCTGGTTTTTGCGCGCCACAGCTTCCGTGATCGGGGATGCGCTTTGGGTTGACCCGGTTTCCCTTCTTCCCTGTTCCAGGGTTCGGGTGTCTCAGGTCGTCCGCAGGGTTATTCGGTCCAGCCAGCCTGCAGTCCATCCCCGTGCCCACGACGTTCATAAGTTGGCTGCGCTTGCTGCCGTCTTCGGTAACATGTCTTGTGTTGACATTCGGGTGCGGGGTTTTTATGGGTCGAACAGGCTCCTGGCCTCGTCGGGCCTGTGTTGTTTTGGGTTGGTGGTTGCAGCCAGTTGTCTCAACTTCGAGTTAAGGAGCGAGTGCCAACTGTTTCCTGGGTAAGTCCCTTTTTGTCCTTGTCTTTGGGTAGTTAGCTCCGGGGAGCCAAAGGGGCTTCCCTCGGATAACCAGCATTGAATGTAATAAAACGTCATTTTCTGGGTGAGACCCGGAGGCTCCCCTACATCCCTCCCTCCGGTCGGCAGTTTTTCGCATATTTTTACATCCAGCCTCAGAACTGAGGCGTGGGTGGCTGACATGAGGGGTCAGGGGCTTTCCCTTCTCCCTCCCGGGGAGGGAGGAGCTGCACAGACGCCAGTGTGGCACATGGTGATGTCATGCTCGTTTTCATTTGTGGAGTTCTGTCCACTCATTTGAATTTCAGTAGTAGTTTCAACCAGAATAGGGGTTTGTTTTGGGACACTTTATCTTTCTGGGTGCCTGATCCAGTCGATGGCATACATAGAATGCTCCATAACCACATGTGCATTTCTATAGTCTATTGTCTTTCTCCCCACCCCCCCCCCCCCACTCCTTTGAGGGGGCCAGGTTCTGGTTTGTGGTCCTTGGTAGGCCTGGAACTCCATTCACATTGATCGATGCCAAAGTCTGATATATCTATATCAGCCTGAATTTTTTGGGGGTTGCCTCCGGGTCTCACCCAGAAAATGGCGTTTAATTACATTCAACGCTGTTTTTTTTATTACATTTGCATGTGGTTATGAAATACATTTGCATTTGCATGTGGTTATGAAATAAAATAGGCAAATGATGTACAGTAATTTATAATACATTTTCAAGATGTATAAATAATTTAAAGATTTGCTTATGGGAAAAATTTAATATAGTTTAGATAGTTAAACTATGGAAAAAGTAGAACTTCATATTAAGAATATTCAGTGGTCTGCCAAGGTTCCCTACTAGAACTGACATTATTATTTACAAAGAAATATTTTGTCTGTATCATAAGTGTGTAGATAGTAGTTTTGTTAAAAACCTTTAATAAACATTTCTCAGTGACCTTGAGTTTGTATAAACATTGATAGAGTGTATGACCCTAAATACCCATACTAATCAATATCTCTGGTTTTCTGGATAAGCCTTTCTCCAGAAAGAATTTTTTTTTCAAATCACAATATTACATTGAACTAAGATACATTTGCAAAAGATACCTGTAATGATGTTTTACCGAGAATACACTAATTGTGGCTAATGTGTATGTAGGAGACAAATGGGGTTGAGAACTAGGTTCTTGTTTGTAATCCCCCCCTCCCTATCTGGCCCATTGCTGCCGGAAGGAGGCTTGGTGTGGGGGACTATTGCCCTCGGGAGTTGTGTCTGCAAACTCTTTTGAATGTATGGTTAACGTTCGTCTGATGTGGTTCTTGGAACACTGTCACCACCTCTCCCCTTCTCAATTTGGTTTCCGCAAGTGCTGCAGCACAACAGATGTCCTGGTGAACTTGGAGGTCTATATTCGTACTGCTTTTACTGCGAAGACCTCCGTTGTTGCCGTCCTTTTTGACCTGGAAAAGCCTTACAACACCACTTGGCATATTCTGTCCCAACTTCATTCTTTTGGCCTTCGTGGTAAGCTCCTTCTCTTTCTCCAAAGCTTCCTCTCTTGTCGTTCCTTTCGAGTGAGGCTTGGTACCACTCTCTCTGCCTCTTTTCAGCAATGCGAGGGTGTCCCCTAAGGTAGTGTTCTGAGCACTACTCTTTTTTTCTGGTTGCCCTCATTGGTCTTCTTTCCTCTCTTCCTTCTGGCGTCTTCTCCTCTATGTCGACGATCTTACCTTTTGCTGTCGGGGTGGTGATTCGTCTCTCCTTCAATGGTGGCTTCAACTTGCGATTGATGCCATGTTGTCTTGGGCCACCGATCATGGCTTCAGGTTCTCTACGTCTAAGACTTGTGCTATGACTTTTACTCGGAAGTGTGTCGTTCTTCGTCCTTCTTTGTCGTTTTATAGTCACCCCATTGTGTACAAGGATTCCGCTAAGCTTTTGGGGTTAATTTTTGACACTTGTTTGTCTTGGTCGCCCCATATCTCTTATCTCTGTTGAATGCTCTAAGGCCCTAACCCTCCTTCAGGTGTTCTCCCATACTTCTTGAGGAGCGGATAGGCGCGCACTCCTCGCTTTACATTCCTCTCTCGTCTTGTCTAAGCTCAATCATGGTTGCCCTGCTTACTCGTCTGCTTCTCCTTCTACTCTTCACCGTCTTGATGCTTTGCACCATACTGGGTTGCGCCTCAGTTCTGGTGCCTTTCGTTCGACTCCTGTCCTCGGCTTGTATGTTGACACTGGCTTCCTATCTCTCCAGGACTACCGTGATCGCTACTGTCTTCACTATGTTGCGCGGTCACTGCAACATCCTTCCTCTTGCCTCTGTCGTGCTTTAACCCCTCCTGTGGTTCCTGTTCCTCTTCACAACCTCCCTCTTTCTGTCTGGTTATCCCGCTTACAGGATTCTCTTTCAGTTTGTATTTCTAATATTTCTCCTCGTGTTGTTTCTTCTTTGCTCCCATTTAGAGTCCCCCTTCTGCAGTTTTGTATGTCCTTAACCCGCATCACTAAAGCTTTTACCTCTCCTACGGTTCTAAAACGCCTTTTTTGTAAGCACTTTTCTTCACACTTCCGCTTCGTTTCCATCTTCACCGATGGGTCCAAGTCTGCGGACAGTGTAGGCTACTCTGTTGGTTTTCCTGACAGCACTTATATGTGTCACTTACCTCCGGAGACTAGCATCTTCACAGCGGAACTTTATGCTGTTCTCTATGCTCTTCGTCTCCTGCTTTCTCGTTATCAATCTTCCTTTGTAGTTGTTGTTGAGTCTCGTAGTGCCCTCATGGCTCTCGGGTCCTTTAATCCGGTTCATCCAGTGGTTGTTGAGATACAGCATTGACTGTTTCTGATTCACTATAAATTTAAATCAGTTGAGTTTTGCTGGGTTCCCAGCCATATTGGTGTCTCTTTAAATGAGTGTGAGGATGCTGCCGCTAGGGAAGCTGCCCGCTCTTGTCCCATCTCTGGTAAAGGTATTCCCTATTTCGACTTTTACCCAGTTATTCATTCCTCCATCCTTACCCGTTGGCAGGCTTGTTGGTCTTCTGTTACTGGTAACAAACTGCGTACTCTTAAAGAGTTGTTGTAACACCGCTCTAATATGTAACACCACTATAATGGATACTAAACTAATAATGTAAACACTACTTATCCTGAGTAGTACTTCCTATCGGTGCACTTGGTAACACTGTTATTGAACACGGTAATGTGAGCTGACATATGATGGTTACACCGGAACCAAAAGATACACTGCAAAACAAGGAAATGCTACACAGGATTAAATACGCTGCCACCATCTGCCTTGACCATTGAGACTATATCAAGCAACGAGGCAAGAAACATTTCTTGACTTGGAGAGTACTTTGTATGACTGTCATTAATTATGGGACGGTTGTCAGCCACTATATCCAAATTGCTAAGAGGATTCAACAATTGACACAGACGGGAAATTTAACACGAGTTTATTGAGAACAAAATTATGCTAATCACCACTTATAAATCCTACTCTAACACTGGCAAAAAGTTAAGAAATTTCGACATGGAACAAAACCTCAGAGATAACACACATTACCTTAAGACCTCTGTCTCTCCCTGGCTGAGATGTTCTTCACAGACCCGCTCTCGATCCCGGTGTCCCGCACTCTGTTCCCACTAAGTCTCTACAGGACCTCTATATACAACCCCCACAGGGGGGAGATCTGCTGTTGCTACCTACACCAAGAATGTAAGAAGTCGGCCACACGTGCACAAACACTTAAAAATATTTCATTAAACTTGTTTGACATTCACCATACACTGCTCAAGAGAGGAGTTATTAATTACGTGTGTGACTGACCTCTGACCTGGCCAAAAGGGGGAGATCCATGGATGTTTACACATAAGAATCTGGAGTCTAATTCCATTGCAATGTTTGACAAGAGTATCATGAAATATTACATACTTGAAACTATGCTGACTAAGACTAACCCAGGAATTTTTTAATCAACATAAAAGATAATCCAGAGGTCATCTGGGCTGACCTCTTGGAGAAGGCTTCCCTGAGTGTGAACTCTAAAGGGGGGGGGGGTCATGGGTGTTACAGCTCCCTTTCCCCGAAGTTAAGACAAAATCGGGTGTATGATAATTAAGCCCAATTTTGTCTTATCCTAACTCATCCAAAATACCATAACTAAACCCTAAAAAAAAAAAGAAAAAATTGCCAGTGAAATATTGATAAAAGTAAGCAAACTAAATTAACACGATGCAAAGTACATTGTACAGGTACACATCAGTAAGAACAACACAAATGTACAATGAAAGAAACAAAAGTACAAAAAAAAATCCTGGCAAAAATACCAGCAATGATACCCTCACACATGATACAATTCCGATATCATAATATGACAATAAAGTATATCAATTAAAAAAAACTAATCCCGACTGCACCAAGGCAGTCCAGCAAGGCTCCCTCAGAAGGCTGGAAGTGGGCAGTCCAGCAAGGCTCCCTCAGAAGGCTGGAAGGCCCGAGGCAGTCCAGCAAGGCTTCCTCAGAAGGCTGGAAGGCCCGAGGCAGTCCAGCAAGGCTCCCTCAGAAGGCTGGAAGGCCCGAGGCAGTCCAGCAAGGCTCCCTCAGAAGGCTGGAAGGCCCGAGGCAGTCCAGCAAGGCTTCCTCAGAAGGCTGGAAGGCCCGAGGCAGTCCAGCAAGGCTTCCTCAGAAGGCTGGAAGGCCCGAGGCAGTCCAGCAAGGCTCCCTCAGAAGGCTGGAAGTGGGCAGTCCAGCAAGGCTCCCTCAGAAGGCTGGAAGTGGGCAGTCCAGCAAGGCTCCCTCAGAAGGCTGGAAGTGGGCAGTCCAGCAAGGCTCCCTCAGAAGGCTGGAAGGCCAAACAAAAATCGCCTTAAAACTAGCATGACAAAAAAAAAAAATCCTAATGGAACAGGAAAATTACAAGTAACTAAAAATAATATAATGTCAAAATACAAGTAATGACACAAGGCTACATAATACAACCCTGAGGTACAATATATGGCAATAAAGACTACTATGAAACAATGACAACCTGCCTGCACACTAGGCAGGCTAGCAAGTCTTCCTCAGAAGGTCTGAAGAACAAAACATACAAAATAAAATGATCAACAACAAGAAAAAATATATAGAATATTCCTACTCAAACATTTAAATCTAACTAATTAAATACAACAAGTAACATTATACCTAGGTGGGGCATACCCCAAACATCTGCTGGGTACCTCATAACCCACAGCCTAACCTATGAGTTATACAAGTTATAAAACATGGTAAAAATACAATAATAGACATGAAAACTCTGCAACAGAACCGTACGTTTACAGAACACTTGTGGGCCAATCCACATACCGCACAAGACAATAGTGCCCGGGTCAATCTCCATGCACCCTGCACACACACACTGATAGTAAGACTACCTCTTACCATAACAGAAACATTACTTAAATTAACATTACAACATTTTATTGAAACATAAAGGCATGCAAATATTAAAAAAAGTATGTACCCATACTCTGGTACCAAACAGGGAACCTGGACACTCACCACCAGGGCAGACTTATCACATAGACACACATATGAAATAAAATAATAAGAAATTTCAGGATAAAGTTTGTGCTAGAGACCCCAAGTCATCCAGCTAAGAACACTGTCTAGGACCACTTTTTCTAGGTCTAGTTACTTTACATCCTCATAAATGGTACACTTTTAACCCGATTAGACAAAACTATTTGACACCGTTAATAATAGTCATTTCTCTGAACCATCATTCGTAAATCTTGACACATCAATGTTCGTGTTGATATACGCGTTTTCTATCGTGCATCCGTTATACTCTCGTGTGGTGGCCTTTTGGAGACGTGATGTAGAAGACCTGATGTTGGTGACGATGTTGGAGACCTGATGTTGGTCCAGCGTCTGCCCGTCGATGATGCCTGCATATACCCTGAGA